GTTTTTAATATTCTGAAGTTCAACAAGATTATTCGATAAATTCAATTCAGATTATTGAATAAATTATTTTAAATTCAGTTGGTTAGAAATTAAACTGATAAACAGTGCACTGCTAAAAAAAATGGTTGCATTAATTAGAATTCTGGTAGATTCAACCATTATGTCTGCTGGAAAATGGACGGACCAGAATTCTTGTAGGAATTACCAGATGAATCTGATTAATTTCTTCTTGTTAAATTTACCAAATATTTTCGTTAATAATACTAAACTCATTAGTATTATTAACCAATTGTCATTTCTTCCATCTAATTTCAAAAGTCTGTTTAATATTCTGAATTCCAACAAGATTATTGGATAAATTTAATCCAAATTATTGAATAAATTATTTTAAATTCAGTTTGTTAGAAATTAAACCAATAAACAGTGATGCAAGAAGAGGATGCAGCTCAAACACACACAATCAGAGAGCCAGCGTCCTCTTTCTGGCACTACTGCTCATAAGAGAAAGAAATATACTTTGGATTTAATGTTAATACTAGTAGTTCTTTATATACATTTTATGGCAAATACGAGTTAAGTTAAAAGTGTCTTCTGCCTAACGGCAAGCAAAGAAGTTAATGTAACAAGAAATTTTATAGATTCACTCAGAAAATACTAATCATATCCTTATAGTAAAATCTGTTAAACATTTTAGTTATAAAAAATCGAGTCTTATCATGATAACTAGAAATTCTTGTTTGATGTAACCAAAATGCCTTCAATCATATACGTCTTGTTGATACAATCAAACGATTTTTCTCATTGTAGTATCCACGATAGATGGGGGAATAGATAAGCGAATGTATTTCACTCTGTCGAAGTAACGGACGTTAATCCGCGTTAAGATATTACACGCAATCCAACGGACTCTGACATCTTGGATTTATACAAGAAGAATTTATAATTTTTCATTAATTCCGCCAATTCATTTTTTGTCCTTTCCAGAAGAGAAAAATTTTGAAAATTACCCGGTTTTAACGAAAATTATTACCCGGTTTGTCGAAAATTATATTCGTTTCCTTTACGTTGATGAGAATTTTAAGATTATTAATGTGATATTTTGCACTTTATTATGCAATAAAAATTGCAATGTGTATTGATTATTTCTCTGTCTTCAGTTGATTTCATTAACATCCGGACGCGAGATTCTAATTTCAGGAAACCGATAGCGGTTGCTACGAAGAACACGATAATTTCTTTTTATCTGCTTATTCAAGCAGGGCGTGAAAAGTTTGCGGTATTCCTTATCTCGTCGCTATATTAGACGACCACGTGGTCATTGATAATGCGATCAAACGTGTATTTCAGAGAACGAAAGCGTACGTTTCCTATAAGATATAATTGATAAATTGTTTTCCACAAAGCAAATCCTTGCGCTGTTCGATAGAGAAAATAAACAAAATTATTTGCGTAAATCTGATCGAGATTGATTCATCCAAACATATGTTCAAACTTCAAAGTACCATACATCTGTTCTCTCTTAAATGTCTATAATCGCAGATTATGATCAAATAATGATGTATTCCTAGAAATGTGGAGATTGTAAAAATAGAATAGAGATATACTTGTTCCCACAGCACTAATTTACATTTTATGATCCTGTTCAACATACACATACATACATTCTCCAATAATATAAATAAAGAGAAAAATTGACTTCTAAATACATAATTATATTAAATACATAAAAATTGATTTTTAAATATATAATTAAGTTTATCTTATTAAGTAATATTTTAATTATTTTAAATATATAATTAAATATATTAATTTAAATATATTTTTAAATATCGTATATGCACATATAATTTCAAAAATATTCGTCGATTATACAAGTCTAATATTTACCAAATCATTTATAAAATAATTTGTCGACTTGCTACACTTTTAATACTCATCACGTAATTATCAATGAATAATAACGCTTATTAGCTATCTCTGAAACGTGTATCTCTAAAAAAAGGTTTATCCAAAATTACTCTGTCCAACGATCTTTCCCAAATCGCACATATTGTTCACAAATGTGGATCGATCGATCAATGAACAATGGCTATTATTTATCGTATCTGGGAAACGCATAGTGTTTATCCGAAATAATTCCGGTCTCGATAATCGGCATCGCTACTAATGATCGTCACCTTTCCCGGGTCCCGGATGCACGTATCGTTTGCAAGCATGGATCGATCCATGCGTATGCTATATACGCGTACACGTGAGAATATTGATTCCACCGTGTCAGCTGCTTGCTTGCTTCCTCGTCTGCTATCTGCTTATGCCCGTCGTGGCTCGGTTACCCTACCGCATTCTAACCCACATTCACGTGCTCCGCCACGCGACCGCGCACAAGTAACCGGACTAGGATATCGCTGTTCCGGAGTGCCTGATACTTTCCAGTGTATCGGATTTACCAAAGAGACGGATATCGCAATTCCGATACTCCCAATCGCACGATCGCGATTTAATCCTTTCAAACGCGAAATTTCAGCCACGTTTTTCCGTCAAGGGATATCGCAAAATTGTCGCGGGATATAATTTTTCTCCATCGCCACTGAGAAAAATCGTTTGATAGTACCAACAAGATATATGATTGAAGGCATTTTGGTTAAATCAAACAATTTCTATCATGATAAGACTCGATTTTTTATAACTAGAACGTTTAACAGACTTTACTATAAGGATTTGGTTAGTATTTTTTTTTAGTTGAATTCTATAAAATTTCTTGTTGCATTAACTTTTTTGCTTGCCACTTTTAACTTAACTCGTATTCAATATTTGCCATGCAAAGTATATAAAGAACTAGTATTAACATTAAATCCAAAGTATATTTTTTTTCTCCTACGAGCAGTAGTGCCAGAAAGAGGATGCTGGCTCTTTGATTGTGTGTTTGAGCTGCATCCCTCTTTTTGCATCACTGTTTATCAGTTTAATTTCTAACCAACTGAATTTAAAATAATTTCTTCAATAATCTGAATTGAATTTATCCAATAATCTTGTTGGAATTCAGAATATTAAACAGACTTTTGAAATTAAATGGAAAGAATTTTAGACGACTTGGTACTGGTGAGTTTAGTATTATTAACGAGAAAATTTGATAAATTTAACAGGAAGAAATTAATCATAATCATCTGGTAATTCCTACAAGAATTCTGATTCGTTCACTTTCCAACAGACTGGTTGAATCTACCAAAATTCTAATTAATGCAACAATTTTTTTCTCAGTGCACTAGTTATCAGTTTAATTTCTAACAAACTGAATTTAAAATAATTTCTTCAATAATCTGGATTGAATTTATCCAATAATCTTGTTGGAATTCAGAATATTGAACAGACTTTTGAAATTAGATGGAAGAAATTTTAGATGACTTGGTGCTGGCGAGTTTAGTATTATTAACGAGAAAATTTGGTAAATTTAACAGGAAAAAATTAATCATATTCATCAGGTAATTTCTATGAGAATTCTGATTCGTCCACTTTCCAACAGACATACTGGCTTAATCTACCAGAACTCTAATTAATGCCACCAGATTTTTTTCTCAGTGCACTGTTTATCAATTTAATTTCTAACAACCTGAATTTAAAATAATAAATAATCTTGTTGGAATTTAGAATATTAAACAGACTATTGAGATTAGATGGAAAAAATTTTAGACGACTTGATGCTAGTGAGTTTAGTATTGTTAACGAGAAAATTTAGTAAATTTAACAGGAAAAAATTAATCAAATTCATCTGGTAGTTCCTACAAGAATTCTGATTCGTCCACTTTCCAACAGACATACTGGTTGAATTTACCAGAATTCTAATTAATGCAACCAGATTTTTTTCTCAGTGCACTGTTTATCAGTTTAATTTCTAACAAACTGAATTTAAAATAATTTCTTCAATAATCTGGATTGAATTTATCCAATAATCTTCTTGGAATTCAGAATATTAAACAGATTTTTGAAATTAGATGGAAAAAATTTGGTGCTAGTAAGTTTAGTATTGTTAACAAGAAAATTTAGTAAATTTTACAGGAAGAAATTAATCATATTCATCTGGTAATTCCTATAAGACTTCTGATTCGTCCACTTTCCAACAGACTTACTGATTGAATCTACCAGAATTCTAATTAACGCAATCCGATTTTTCTCAGTGTATCCCACTTATATTTCGTCGCGCATCGAAACAGCCGATTGATAAATCCCCTCGATCAAGTAGGCGCACCCGCCTGCCATCGGAGCTGCGCTAATTTTTAGAAAGCGCGACGAGAAAGGCTGGATCCTTCGCGTTTGACCCCCTTCGCATTTGACTCGTTAACGTGGCATTCGCGTATATACAGTTCCCCATCGTAAATCGCGCTGTGTCCCGGATCCTTAAGCGCGCTTACTTTCAAATCTCGACCGGCCAGAAAGCGGGAGGAGGAGACGGACAGAAACATAGAAAAGAACAAGGTACTCGCCTCAACGAAAGAGAGCGAAGCGAAGCGAAACCCGACGCGACCTGACGCCTGGATGATGCGTTATCGGGATACTCGCGCCATCGCGCGCGCCGCGCATAGGTGTCCGTCCGTCCGCGCCCCGCCATTGGACCGCGACCGGCGGGAGTGGGGGACGACGGCGCGGGCCGATTGGCGGCGCGCGTTGGCGCCGACGGAAATAAGCGCGAGAGGATCGCTCGCGTGAGACCAGGTCGCGCATCGGCGCTCGACTCAGATGCCCGAGGACCGTGCATCCCGTTGCGTCGCGTCTTCGATTCGCTCTCCTCTTCCACTCCAGCGTCCTTTCGATCATCGGAAACGCAACACCGTCCCGGCTCTTCAAGTTGAACGAACGCGACGTCCGACTCGACAACGCCACGTGGTTGTGCGCGGAAGCTTCCAGAGAACGTGCCCTACTACACCAAGTGCAACGAAGATAGAGAGAGAGAGAAAGAGAGAGAAAGAGAGAGAGAGAGAAAGAGAGAGAGAGAGAAAGAGAGAGAGAGGATTAGGAGAAGGAAGAGCGACGCGCGCGCGCGCGCGTGCGATCAGGTGACGCGGTCGTCGGACGTTTTCGGGTCTCCTCGTCTCCCCTCGGGGAGGGCCCCCCCCCCTTTACCGTACGCGCCGAAGAAATCGGAATAGTCGGCGCTTGGCATTCGCGCGGGTCGTTTCGTTTGTACGTGTGTGAGTGTGTGAGCGTGCGTGTATGTGTAAGTGTCTCTACGCGCGCACGGACAAGCTCCATCTCCTCGCCTCGAAGCTAACGGACACTTTCGGATTCCTCGTCTTAAGATATACAGATGTATACCGTGGCGCGAAGAATACTTTCCAGTGTCTCTCCGATCTGTCGTAAGTGACGTAAGATACGATATCGAACGAAAGGAAGGAAGGAAGGAAGGAAGGAAGGAAGAGACGCTGCGAGTGACGTGTTGATGAAAGGGTAGAGGTAAAGAGAGGATCGAGAGCAACAGCATCTTCTTGAGACGAGGGGCGACTTGAGACGAGTCGGTGCGCATCGCGCGAGTTATTTCGACAAGAGTGCGTGCTATCTGACACTGACTTGCGCCGAGAGAGTCGCGCTAAAATTGGATATCTTGGTCGCGCCGAGTTTTCGTGCAGCTGACCGCGCCAACCGGACGACGATGCACCACGTCGTGAGGTCTCTCCGCGGACGATAACGAAGGTACGCACATTTGCATTGGCTCTCGCAAACGAGGGAAATACACCGACGATGCTAATTAAGGATGTTTTGTATGTACAATCCCAGGAAAAAATAGCTGAAAATCAATATTGAATATATCCACTTTTGGTGTATTTTGAGTAAGAAATTGCGTGGATATTACAATTTGATACAATTAGCTACAGTGCAGAGATGTATTTTTTAATATTTATTGAATAGTAATATTGAATAGGAATAAGTATTCCGAATTTTGTTAATCGAAATGATTAACTTTTGGCAGAGAATTTCGCCTTGTGACAGATACATGGCTAACTTCATTGAGTTATATTTAATATTTTTTTAACCAGTTAGTACTTGTATAATATTATTTAACCAAATATTTCCTCCATCTAAACTTTTGCAAATTTTAAACAAATTCTGAATATTATTTCCATGTGTTTTTGTCATTTGAATCAACGTGGTTATACGTTTCCCATAAGAACACGTGTTAATTCGGTGCAAATTAAAATTCTTATAACTTATCAACGCTTTAGTGAATCGATTTAAAAATTGTACTGAAGATTCTAAATATATGTAAGGACATTCTGTACAATTTTCATTAAATTCTCAATATTTTGAAAATAGGTACAAAACATCCTTAAAATAATTTTATTCATCTTTGAGGAGATAAAAGATAAAATATTCATGTCGTATCTAAGAAGCTTATAAAAATTATTTATTATATTCTTTTATTATTTTTTAGAATCTTTTATTATTTATTATTGCTTTTCATAACATATAAGTATTTTTATTTGAAGTAGATCGATTTGAAAGAAAAAATGTATAACAAGATTCAATTACATTTGATCATTAATAATTTGCATTTCGTTTTAAGGATGTTTTGTGTGTACAATCCCAACAAAAAGTAGCTGAAAATCAATATTGACGAATATATCCACTTTTTTTTTTGAGTATGAGAAATTGCGTGGAATATTACAATTTGATCTTAGCTACTCTGTAAAAAAGTTTTTGTATAAATTTACAATTATTAAAAATCAACTATTAAAGGTGTATATTTACATATATTAGTAAATTTACATTTCATAGATAAAATTATTATCTTAAATGATGAGTAAGCATCTTGTACTAATAAATTTACATGTTAGAAGTAAATTTCTAGAAATGTTTATGTAATAATACATTTTGTATATGTATTTATTTATACAATTTCACATATTAAATTTAATTTAAAATTAAAAAATTACATAATTACATACATGTTAATTCGATGCAAATTAAAATCCTTATAATTTGTCAACGCTTCAGTGAATCGATTTAAAAATTGTACTGAAGATTCTAAACATATGTAAGGACGTTCCGTACAATTTTCATTAAATTCTCAATATTTTGAAAATAGGTACAAAACATCCTTGAAGGTGACCGACGCTTCGTTCGCGAGACAAAAAACACGCTTATGAAAGCTCGTATAAACGTGAATATGTCGATCTTTGTAGATATAATATTGAAATACTATAATATTGAAATATTTAATGTGTGATAGTACTGTACGTGAGCGTGAATAAAAAACATACTGTAGTAAACAGTTTTTTTTCCACCTGAGAATGAGATTTTACGTCGTGAAATGACTTGAATTCTTTTCGAATAATTTACAACTGCTCTGCTTGTAATTCGAATAAATCACTTTATAAATATAATTTAATAATTGTTTAGATATTACAGAAAATCTTGTGTAAATAATTGCTATTTTTGTTTCAAATTAACTGTTGTAATAATACTTGTCTAATAATATTTTTTTAGATTATGTGGTATCACGTAAATAATAATTTTTTTTTTATTTTCCTCTTCGTAAATGACTATTTTTAATTCAATTATCTTAATATTCACGCAATTTAACATGAAAATATTTAATATCTATCACGGGTACTTATCATGATAATTATTACTAGATTAATTCATTATGAATAATCTATTATCACAGATATTCTTTCGTTCTCTCTCATATGAATAACCTATTATCTCACACGTATTGTAAAATATAATAATTAGTGCCTAATTATTATACCATAAAACATTAATTTATTTTAAATCGTCTTCATTGTAGCTCTTAATTGGCTTAATTTAATGAAATGTCTCGTTAAAATTCCTAATTCGAAGACTCTTAACGCAAATGGTAAATTATTACACAATGTTACAGCTATATTATTATATCTATTCTTATATCTATATTATATAAAAAAGTGATTTACTTGAGACTCATTCGTACTAACGACTTAACACGTGTGCACGTAGAAAAGCTGATACACCTGGCGTACATTATAGTCCTCGGTTTCACAAGCAATGCAATGGCTCGATCACAAGTGACATAAGATATTCTGCTTATGGCAAGTTGGAAAGAGAGCCAATGTTAACGTATACATACATTAAAGAGTTTCAAATGAACGAAATTAAATGTATTATATCCATTACGTGAATCTAAATATCTATAGATCTACAGGGTGGTCCCGAACGTTCCAGCCAGACTTTGAGATCTTATAGGAAATTTAATTTCGAATAAAAAATTTCCCATAAACATGGGTCGAAAAATGCTTCCTTAAGAAGTTATCGCTCAAAAACCTCTGATGAAGGAAGAGCAAAAGGTGAAAAGAAAATGAAATGAAAAGAAAATGAAACTAAATAAATTTCTTGAAAAAATCGATAAAAATAAAAAATAAACATCTTTTTCTTTTATGAAAATAAAATAATTTTTTTTTTAAACTAATATTTTAGTAATAGCACGTAATAGTAGAAAATGAATAAAGACGTTTTTCAAGAAATTTATTTAGTTATAATTTCTTAAGGAAGCATTTTTCGACCCATGTTTATAGGAAATTTTTTGTTCAGAATTAAATTTCCTATAAGATCTCAAAGTCTGGCTGGAACGTTTGGGGCCTTGTTCGGGGCCACCCTGTATATGTAATATCATGAGTATTCCTGAAGCTATGTTAGATCTATAGATATTGTTATGTATTTCTTCATCATACTATTTCCGGGAAGTACGTATCTCTAATTATATAAAACGTTAGTGATTTATTATTATCAATGATAATGATAAAAAAAATTTATCATCAGAGAAATATTCAAAGAAGTAATTCGAGAAAACTATTCTTGAAAATATCGATTTATTCTATTATATATATATTAATTATTTAATACTTAAATATCATTATAATCGTATTATTAATTATTAATATGAAATTAATTATTAATAACTTGAAAGAAAATTAGAGAAGTATAAATTAATAATAACATATTATTAATTAAGATATTATAAATAATTAAATACTTAAATACTTATTAATAGATATTATTAATGTATAATATATTATATAATTTTAAATAAATTTAATTAATAATAAAATTATATTATATTATATATTATACAGGGTGACCCATTTTAACTTAGGCAGCCAAATAACTCGAAAAATAAGCACACTACGAAAAAATGGTTGGAATCAAAATTTCGTCATTTCGAGGGGGACGTACAATGACGTTAAAATCAGCCCCCCCACCCTTCCTCCTGGGCGGTGAGGGGGGGCAAGTTTGAAATCTTAAATGGAACCCCCTATTTTTCATTGCATATTCTTGTAGCTTATCTCGAGAGCTTTCCAAAACACTATAATTAAGTACCTTTTTATTAAGTACTTTTTGAGTTATAAGGCTTGAAATAATTTCTTAATTTTACATAAACCATAAAATATCTAGTAAACCATTCATTTTTCGATTATCTTACCTTCATACTTTTATGTACAAAATAATGAGAGGAATCAATTGGTGTAAAGAAAACACATAGTTGTTTCTAAGAAAAAATATGTAATTTGCAATTAACAATTCCATATTTTTTCTTAAAAACAACTGTATGTTTTCTTTACACCAATTGATTCCTCTCATTATTTTGTACATAAAAATATGAAGGTAAGATAATCGAAAAATGAATGGTTTACTAGATATTTTATGGTTTATGTAAAATGAAGAAATTATTCTAAGCCTTATAACTCAAAAAGTACTTAATAAAAAGGTACTTAATTATAGTGTTTTGGAAAGCTCTCGAGATAAGCTACAAGAATATGCAATGAAAAATAGGGGGTTCCATTTAAGATTTCAAACTTGCCCCCCCTCACCGCCCAGGGGGAGGGGGGGGGCTGATTTTAACGTCATTGTACGTCCCCCTCGAAATGACGAAATTTTGATTCTAATCATTTTTTCGTAGTGTGCTTATTTTTCGAGTTATTTGGCTGCCTAAGTTAAAATGGGTCACCCTGTATATTATAGACGATGGAAAAACTTATATTTCTTTTTTATTACTAAATTCAATGAAGCATGTCAGATATTTATATGTGAAACTTTTACACGAGAAGCATAAGAAACTTTTTAATATATGTGTATCATGAATGTATTTCTCCTCCAGATGATAGACTTAAATCGTGTCGATTCTCGGTGTAAAGAAAACGTTTCTAAATCACGATTCAATCTGCGCGGAAACATGAATTTCCACGATTCAATTGCCAAATACTTTGTTTATCTCGGCCGCACGCCAAGATCTCGCGCGCTTTCGTCGATTTGCAAAATGCTTATGTATCTGCGATCATCATACGGTCTGATTTCTCTCTCCCAAGCGACATCGGTTTCCCTTCGTCGCGATACGCGCTTTCCCATAGAATAGAGAGCGATTTCTGAACGAACGTCGTGCATTCTTTGCGACTATAATAATAGAAAAACGCGTGTAAAGAGCCCCTCACAGCTTCGTGATTTAGCAAGCAATCGAAAGATACACTGAGGAAAAAATTATGTTGAAATAAAAAAATTTTAGTTAACTCAAGAAAGCTACTTATTCGGTGGGTGTCAATCACGTATTTACTTGTATTCAAAACGTCTGTTTGCTTAAGTTAAGTATTTATTTACATATGTTTAAAAAAATATATATACTTAAAAAAATATAATTTTTAATTCAATATTTTTATTTTAAT